AAATTGGAAAGAGGTCATTTGTTCCAAATTTTAAGGTAAAATTTCATTCACAATTTTTTCAGCTTTTTTTTTTTATTTAGTTGATGAGAGAATTTTCTCTAAATTCTGTAGAATTAAATTAATGCTTAGACATAATCAGATATGAAGCAGCTCGGTGTTATCGCAGTATAGTTAAGTGCCATAATTGAGTGGGTTGAACAGTAGTTACAGTTTATTGTCGCTATTTTCTTTGCTACCATTTTTGGACAGTTTTAGAAGAAAATGATTTTTTTTTTCAATATACAAAATTAAGTACACTAAATTGGTCGCTTTCAGTAAAATAAATGATCGGTAATTGAGAAATGAGAATTGTAATTTTTCTCTTTTTTTCTAGACATACGGTATTTTATGGTTTTTTGGAAATTTCTGGGACGGTAACCCCAACACTGGTGACATTTATTTCTTTGTTTTTTTGGTCGGTTTTTTTTTTTTTGTATTCTATTTAATACAGTTGTTAAACATTATATGGTTATGATTGATCTTCTCAGTTTAGTTGGCTGACCGTACCTTTATATGGTATAGTCGATGAGATCTTACTGAGAATGGAGTAATAGATATATGCTTACTTTTTAGATGGAAATATTGCTGCGTTTTTTGACACTTTAATTGGCCTATATAACAGAAGAGGTAGAAAAAAGAAAAGAAATATTGGAAGCAATCTTCTGTTGGAATGGTAATTTTAGTGAACTCATTCTTTGTGATGTGTACTTATCAAGATGACTGACATATTTAGGGTACAAATTGAGCGTCAATTCTATTTTTGCCGCCTTCTGACAAATTTTGTTGGGTTTTTTTTTGCTGCTGAGGTTTGAATATAGAAAAAAAGTTATTCTCTTATTAGAAATGAAGTGTTTGAAAGTGAAAGAAGGGAACGGTAGTGTGTAAAAAGGCTACTTTTTTTTGAATAATCTTCAACTTAGGAGCGTTTATGAAGAGAAGGTAGCAATAAAAATATATCAACGAGTTTGTTTACAAATCAAAGGTGATTTTGGCTGAGTTTTTGTCATAATTATAACTCTATTTTTGGGGGAAGGTCTGCGGAGCTTGGGAGAGAAATTTTTGGTGTTTTTGTCTGCCGGTTTTTTTTTTTTGGTCTTTTAAATTACGCAACAACTTTGGTGTAATATAATTATTTATTTGTGAATGGAGTTTTTGCTTTTTTCTTCTCATTTTTTTATCTCTTTTTTTTTTTTTTTTTTTCCTATTTAGAGATGTAATCAGAATGGGTGGGACGGTTTATTATGAGCAATTGAAAATTGAGATAACTGTTGGGTGTTCACTTCTTTTTTTTTTTTTTTGTTTTTTCATTTTATAGGTTGTGGACGTTACGATAACCGAGAAGTAAAATAAACTTGTGATAAGTTTTTTTCATGAAAGTAGAGGTAATATGATAAATGGTCTTTTTTTTCTAATCTTGCCAAAGTTTCAGATTTATTTTTGTTTATTTTTTTTTCATAGATTTTTCTTTGGTCGTTAGTCTAAAGTGTTATTGGATAGCTATTGGTGAGACAGTTAAAAGTCAGAATAATTCTGGAGATTGGCCAGTACAAAAAAAAAAAAAAAAAAAAATTGAAAATACTTTACACAAAAGAGAAGAAGAAACAGAAAAATTAGATAATGAAAAAATTGGTTTTTTAAAAATGTTTGGTATTCTTTTTAAAGCCTTTTATGGAAACAATTTGATAGCTGTCTAAAAATTTTTGTCAATATAGGTTTTTTAAATTACTCAAAATAACAGATACAGAGAAAAAGAACGTTTTTCCTTGCTTCAATATCTAATCTTCTCTAAAGTTCAAAACGGAATCTGAAATGTTAACAATTACTGATACTAATTGACCGAGTTTAATCGACCAAATAGTTTATTAATTGACTCTTCGGGGTTAATTTTGCTGATAACTCGCAATTAAGGAATGGAAGTGAGGATTTGAAAGATAAAGTATAAACCCTTTTGCTCATTGTGTTATGCACTTATTTGGTTCTTCTAAAAATGCTGCGTACATTTTGATTTCACCTTTGAAAGCAATGTGTGCTTACGTTGGGGTAAAAGTTTGTGTGGTATTGTTTTTTTGTGATTTCTATGATCAAAGAGTAGCACTTTATTGAACCGTGTCTTGTTTACAAATTTTTCTTGGACGTTTATCTGTAAAGTCTTGTATCTTCAAATTTCTTTTTTTTTGAAGTCCTTTGTCTTTAAATTTTGTGAGAATTGGAAACAGCAGAAAATATCAGTTTTTTGGGAAATATTTTTGGAGAATTCAATCGTATTTTTGAAGGATTCAATCGTAGATGCCTGTTGTTGCACTTTTTCTTGTCAAAATTAAGTTCTGTTGTTGTTAAACTTTGTC